ATTTTCTTTCATCACTCTTCACCATCAAGTAGAAAAGTTACTATTAGAGTGACTATTAGGTATTTACATGACATACTGTGAAAGTTGTCCATTCTATGTTATCTTGCCTATAATAATTATGCTCTATAGCTTTTTACCCTTACAGTGAAGTGTGGTTACTCTTAGTTTTAAAAAGTCTTCAATAAATATCCTTATGGGGAGGTGAAAACAGAGAGAACTATGTAATTTCAAATTTTTGAGAGCAAAATAGTAGAAATTAACGTACTAGTGTCTCAGAGTTGTCTAGGTGGTCATGAAATCAAACATGGCTGGCTGTGTAGGAATAAGAAGTGTTTGGTGAGAACAGTAAGACAGTCAGAACACGTTTCCAAAGACTGCAGGAGAAGGAACTACAAAGAGCTGCAATAGAAATCCAAGAGATGACCTGAAAGAGAGAAGATGGAGCAGTGAAACAGGAAGATAGACACAATGATAGATCTGCGAAAGGCTGTTTTACCTAAATTGACTTTTAACTATTTCCTCTCATGAAACTACCAGATATGGTCAGTAGCAATTATAATATAAAATATTTGGTAAATATACAACTAACATTCTTCAGGTAACTTTTTAAATTCTAGTTTAAAGTAGAAGTATCTACATTCCTACCAAGTCTGTAAGATATTTTTGCTATTCATAAAGTTTATAAAAAAATAATTTAGACAAAATTCCCAAAAACTAACTACTAGTATCTTTCCTGCAGTTCACTAGGGTAAGCGCCAATGAAGGACCTACTTGTAAAAAATAATGTACTGTTACAATATTAAGTTCATTTCATTACATTGATTTAATCTCAAATATAATAAACATGCAAATAAAATGCCTAGAAGTTATTTAGACAATAATATAGGTCCATGTAAGTGATACTCCTTCTCTTGAAGGGTAATCACAATAAATAAACTGACCCTCAACCTAAATAAATATGAGGAAGGTCATCAGAGTATGATTGCATTTTATTTATAACGATTTTAATCAATATGTATTTATACCACTGAGTGTAACTACAATTGCATTATATTACAGTTTACCTTAGGTGATTTAAGTGTCCTTAAATTTTAAAAGTATAAATAAAATCTAATTCAATATTAAAACTCTGATTTTCAATAGAAACTCTTTTAGAGTGCATTAAAAGGATTAGAAATACTACAATTACCCATCACAAGCTTGTTCCTGTTTCATTTTTTGAACAAAATCAGTAACACAAAATATTTCCGCATATAACACCTCTAGAAGATCATTCTAAACATGCCATATTTTAACTCACTCATCCTAAGTTTTATTACCAATGGACTAGTGAAATTAGAACTATATCCTCATTTTTCAAGTAAAAAATCATCTATTTTTATAGTAGTTAAATTTAATATTGTCCTACCATCCATTTCCCCAAACTCTTACTTTTTCTATTTTTTTCTCTGACATCCAGAGTAACTTTATAGTTGCCTACATCTTCTAAAAAATCTAAGGAGAAAACTTATGAGTGATATCTATGGACAGTTATGCTTGTTCTTTTTATAAAATTAGAGTTATTTTTTAAAAAAACAATTGCTCCAAATCTTACTCATATTTGAATGTCTTCTCAATACCTTGAACACAAAAAGTTATATATTTTTTCTGTTCTCTAAAACTAATTTTTGAGTTTCCTTTGTAACATATCCTATTAATTGACAAAAAAATAGGTTATGTATGACAGGGAATTTGAGGTGTAAAACATAACCTTTACCCTCCATTCTTTCTCAAAAATATATTAATGACAAGATAATTTAAAAAAAAACATATATAGCATTAACAAACTGTGTTCAAATCCTGATTCCATTGCTGACAATATTTTTAGTATCTCTTTAAAGGAGAAGGTACATGTGGCAGCTTTTACATACAGCCACATATACCAGTACTTTCAAAGTCTTCACATTAAGAGGTAGATAGACACCATGTCTTTTTTCCTGAATGTTGACCTGCCTGAGTTTGCTTCAACCAATAAAGTACAGCCGAATCAATTCTATGTGAATTGTGAGGCTAGGTCATAAATAGCCCATGTACCTACTCAATGGAACACTCAAGCTTGGAGCCTTCAGCTTCCAGGTAACAAGTCCAACAACATTTGTGCTTCCATGCTATGATGAAGTCTGAGGTACAGGGAGAGACCTTATCCAGACACTCTTGGTCAACAGTTTTGAGCTCAGCCTTAGAGTGATCCCAGTCTGGATGGAAAAGTGTAAGTTAAGACAACTGAACACCAAACAGACAAACAATTCAGTTAAAAAATAAACTAAGGGCCTGAGCAGACACTTCTCCCAAGAAAACATACAAATGGCAAACAGATAAATGAAAAGATGCTCAACTTCACTAGCTATTAAAGAAATGCAAATTAAAACTACAATGAGATATGAATTCATACCTGTTTGAATGACTATTATCAACGACAAGTGTTGAAGAGGATGTGGATAAAAGGAACCCTCATTTGCTGCTGGTGGGAATGTAAACTGGTACAGCCATTATAGAAAACAGTATGGAGGCTGTGTTGCAGCATCCCTAGGCTATGCAGGTCCACTCAAGACTCAGTTAGATGGAAGAAATTGCATGGAGTTGTGGGGATGCTTGGCGTGCCTTTATTCAGGAGTCACATGGGCCACAAGCCCCTGTCTATGTGTACACCCCAACTACCTCACTCCCCCTCTCTCCCTCCGAGTGAGAAGCCTTTACTTCCTTAAGTACTAGTACAAGCAAAGCTGGCCTCAGGCCAAATAGTGAGATAACTTGGCATGAGCTGGGCATGCGGGCCTACTTAAGGCTAAGGGGCAGTTTATCTTATCCAGACTCAGGGCGGTGAGACCCAGGCTCAAGGCTATGAGAACACTGTTTTATCAGACTCTTCAAGGTTGTGAGAGCTGCTCCCCTTAGTTACCCAAGCACCTGGGTAAGGATGCCAGACTGCCTCCACTTACCCTACAGAGGTTCTTCAAAATAATAAAAATAGAGTTAGTATATTACTCAACAATCTTTCTTTTGGGTATTTACCCCCAAAATTTGAAAACATTTATACACAAAGATATATGCACCCCATGTTAATTACAGCATTATTTACAGTGGCCAAGACATGGAAGCAACCGAAGTGTCTTTCAATATATGATTGGATAAACATGTGGTATTTATATGCAATGTAATACCACTCAGCCATATGAAAATAGGAAATACTGACATTTGCAACAACATTGATGAATCTAGAGAATATCATGCTAAGCAAAATAAACCAGAAAAACTCAAGAACCGTATCATTTCACTCATATGTGGAATATAAAACTGAAAGCAACAAGTGAACAAATAAGAAAAACAAAAAGAACTCATAGAGTTCATAGACAATAGCATGGAGGTTAGCAGAGGGAAGCTGGTTGGGCTGGTAGTAAAGGGAAAAGGGGGTCAAACAAAGTGGTGGAAGGAGCTATGGCTTTGGATGGTGGGCACACAATGTTAATATACAGAGGATATATCATAGAACTGAGCACTTGACACGTATATTATTTTATTAAACAATGTCACCCCAATATTTGTAAAAAAGCCTCCAGATTGTTCTATTTTCCAATATTCAACTCATCCCTAGCCATCCATGACTTTGTAGGGGCCCCAGATATTGCAAACCACAGTAGAGTCATTGATATGTTCCAATACTTGATGTACAAAATTTGTAAGAATACTAAAATGGTGTTTTATGTCACTAAGTGCGAACAATATGTTATGCATCAATAGATCACAGAAATAATAGCAAATGAAAATGTTTTATTTCTCTAAATTTGGCAAATGTGCCATGAAAGGAAAAGAAGAAATGTGGCATTATGTAAACATGAGAGCCATTTTATAATTGTGCTCTTTAACAATTATTAACTATGAAAATCATGGATGATATTCTCATATAGTGAAATTTTATGGGAGATTAAATGAAATAACATAATTAAAGTATGTGACACAAACATGTGTTAAGAAAAACTGAGTTTTTTTTTTACTTTTTATTATAAAAAACATTTTACCCTACCTTATTAAAGAAATAGCATTGTTCCATGAGAGATGTTCAAACTATACAAATTATAACAAAATAATTAGTTTATAAGAGTCAACATTTCACTGAGCAGGACATATCTATAAAGCATTATAGAGAAAAAATAAAAATTTCAATTCACTTTAACAAATGGTTGGCTATATGATCGGGAGGAATATATAGTTTGGGATATGAAAGTGAATAAAAGAGCTTCTATTCCAGTCTTCATAAAAGTTAGAATATGGCAGTTTAATGGGAATTACAAACAGTTTATCACATAGTGAATATTAAAGAGAGGTTCACATTGCTATGGAAATATATAACAGCAAAAATTATGCTAGTCTGAGATCACAAAAGGCCTTCTTGAAAAATTAGTAATTAAGTTGACTTGGAAGATGAATAGATGATTACAAGTGTATATTGGAAGAATGATCCAAGAAGAAGAAACAGCAAGGGGGAAAGCCCTGAAGAGAGAGAACAGAGAAGAGCTTAGAGAAATTGAGAGGACTAGTCTTTCTGGGTCACGTTGACCAATTATCACATGGAGAGGGGGGCAGAGGCCTCATGATAAAAGGCACTTAATATAAATGTAAGAATATGAGAATTTCTCTTAGGGACAATGGGAAATCATTGGAAAGGTGGTAAGCAAGCAAATGACTTCAAATTTTTGTTTTACAACATTAGTTAAAGGATTTAGGGTTCATATTACTCTCTAGGGTAGAAATCTTGATAATCATCATATTTTCTATTCTTATTGCTCATCATGTTGTCTCATGCAAAATGTTGTTCTTTGTTCTTCTACAGTTGTACAGTAGGCATAGAATAGAAAATTCTGTTTTATGACTCATACCCATGCCTCAACTAAAAGCTTAAAAAGTATAAAACAATTTTATCACATACAGTTCATCTATTCACACTGTTTTTTAAAAATTTTTATCATGTTTCTTCTTACAGGTATCTAAACTCATACTGAACAATGAGTTCTGGGTTGCAAAAGAAGATTTATCATTCACACCTGTATGTAGTCTTTGCCCACAACTTAAACAAAAACAAACACAAGTGCTAGTAGTCATACTTTTTTTTTATTTTTTTTAAAAATGTTATTTATTTATTTTTAGAGAGGAAGGGAGTGAAAAAGAGAGGGAGAGAAACATCAATGTGTGGTTGCATCTCGCACTCCTGTTACTGGGGACCAGGCCTGCAACCCAAGCAAGTTCCCTGCACTGAGAACTGAACTAGTGATCCTTTGGTTTGCAGGCCAGTGCTCAATCCACTGAGCCACACCAGCTAGGGCTAGTCACACTTTTTAAATGTATTACCATGTTGTTCCATGATTTTAAATAAAAAGTGAGATAAGCCTATGCTCTAAAACCATGTCGTAAGTGTAGCAGAAAATTTCATAAAAATATTATATTTGAAGAAATCCTGGTCACTTAAAAAAAAAGTAGTGTATAGGTTCACATGATAAGTATTTTATAAAAGAAAACATTCAACTAAAAACATATGTTATTATATAAGCTCTCACACTGCTTTCAGTCACGGTATCTGAAATTCTCTCAGTCTTGAGTGTTACCTAGTGAAAGTTTGCCTATTGGACCTTGACACTACTGTAAACATCATATAAATCTTACTTTTTTGCTTCATAATAGATTCCTCCTGGACCCACAAAATAATAAATATCCAGTCTATATCCAGGGTGCAGATATTCTACCAATCTCTTTCTGACCGCATCCCTAGAACTTATTTATACTCTTCCTACACTTCTCATGAGTAAAGTATTCCTTCCTGAAAAATAAAACAGTAACAAAAAAACCCAAAAACAAAACACCCACTTGCTACTTACTCTGCTGGCTCTGGTCCCTCTCTTGTCAATTGAATCTGCTGGTTGTTACTTCCTGAGAGCTTGATAAACTAACACAGTGCTGGGAACTACTAAATGAGGCTGCCTTCCACGGTTCCTAGTGCCAGTTATTTTCTTTCATCTCTTCTTTTAACTTATTCTGACATTATCTTTTCAGCATATTTACTACCAAACTCCATTAGAATTAGTGCAGAATCTATAAATAACATAAACATATTAGCTATGTGAGTTAAATAAATGTTAAGTACATTCTACATGTACAAATATTGACATATAGTACAGCATTTAAGGGCATGCTTTTACGGGACAATTGAAATACCTTTGATATGTGAAAACTTGTTATGAAAATTAAATCCTACACCTACATGAAAAAGTAACATTTACCAGAAAATATTCAAGTTGTTTCCTCAGAGGAATGTCTCCTACTACTATCATGAGAGTTGGATGTCAGGAGCAATTTAATTATCTCGTATTTTTAGTAAGAATTATATCCTTTGCTGAGAGAGTAGAAATTAAGGTTTTAATTCCGGATATAAATCTGAAAATAAAAGGTCAAGTTAGCAATAAAGGATTATACATATAACTGAAAATATTACATATTTTTAAAAATTGCATTATTTTTAATTTGGCTTTATATCCAATTAATTTTGCTGTATTCCAGGCCATTTTATATTTAATAATAAATGAAAGAGTGTTTTTTGTATGCTCAAGTTTTAAGGACTATTAGAACTTCAGACTCTTGTTTAAAAACAAAAATGCATCTTTCAAAGTAATTTTGCACTTTTTTAAGGATAATAATTGGGAATGCACACCCTATATATTAAAGCGAGTGCTATTCAATACATCTATAAATGATGGCATTAATAATATAAAAATAATATAAAACATGAATGGTGAAATAAGGTGGCAAAGGGTTGGCAGTAATTTGTACATGAAAATCAAAAGATGACAATTGAATAAAATCAAAAAAGTCATGTACTTTTATCTGTCTAAGGAGATTATATAATCTACTTTTTTAAAGCATTATGTGCACTTAATATATCATGGATCTCTCTGAACTAACAGATTATTTTCATAAAATGAATATGAGGGTTTTATGTTGATCTTAGTATTCTTAATTTTTTAACAATGGAGCAATGTTTTAAACTTGAAAATGAAGAACATAGAAAAATGTATTTGCATGTCTACCAAATAGTTCTCTTGGAGAAGGAAATACCTTGATAAACCCTATGTTATAAAAGGTGAGACCTGAGGTCATGATTTTGAAAGAGAAAGCAAACAAACAACTTTCCTGAATTTCTCTTCATAAAATTACATATAGAATTTCCTCTTCTGGAATGCCTATGTAAAGAGCTCCATGTAGCTGCTCCTTTATGAAACTGGTGAAAATTATAGAACAGCTGGCCATCTAAGTTTCTTGATATGGCCATAATAGTATATAGAAAATTAAGAAGCATTTATTTATGAAAATCTACTGAACTTCAGGAAGAATAGTGAAAAGTCTTTTACATTTGAACCATGACTTTTTCTTACCTCTCTTTCTCAACCTATTTTGACAAATACGCCACTTAAAATGGATATAGTCACCAACACAGGACTTCTGCTGGGTTCCAGCTCAGGGCTATAGCATATTTCTGGCAGCAAAAGGACATCAGAATTTCATATCCAATCCCCCACATACCTCTTTCTGAGAATAAACTCCTAGCAAGTGTGGCCCAGAAGACAGAGTCCACTTTTTTCTACCAGTCCTGCTCATGGGATGGAGGCTCTACCTTGGATTGAGCACACTGAGCCTTAACTGCTTTCAATTCAGTTTGTTTTAAGGCGAAGTTTCCATACAATGAGAAGCAAGCTGAGAATCCCAAAGGCTACCCTCTCAACTGCCCAGTGCCCAGCTCCCAAATCAGGGATGTCACTCAAGAAAAGCATGTTACTAGTGTCCACCCTGAGCACCACAGCTAAGGCTCAGAGGTTTTACCCATAAAGAGAAACAGTTTATACAACACAGTGCTCCAAAGCTCTTCCCATGGTAATAGCTTGGGGAAGTTCAAGTATCAGAGTATTCTCAAAAACAACAAAGATGTGGTAAGAAGCAAATAAGAAGAAATGCATCATTAAACATATAAGCTGAATCTCACTTCAATTAATTTACCAGAGCAAATCAAGGAAAGAGACAAGTATGAATAAACCTCCTGGAGTCAAAACAAACCTCCAACACCGATATCAATAACTATCCTTGCAAAGGATCCCAAATTAAATGAGTTTGGTATGTGAAACAATTTATGACCCTGGGCATTGTTTAAAATGATAGAACAGTCAGTAAGCAATTAGGAGAGTATATCATCTGGATGTTATCGGGGAATGAGACAACTTTATGTTTTCAGAGAATACAATAAGAAAACAGTAACAAAAATTATGAGAAACTCATAAATATGCAGAAATTAAACAACATACTCCTAAATAACCAATGAATCAAAGAAGAAATAACAAGAGAGGTTAGACTCTATTTTAAGTAGAAAGAGAATGAAGACAATAGGCAGAGTCTCTTATGGACTGCAACAAAAACAATGCTTAAAGGGAAACATACCATAGTAAATGCCTATGTTAAAATAAAATGTAAAAAGAAGATCTCAAAGCAATGATCTAACCTGTCACATTAAGGCACTAGAAAAAGAAGAGTAAATTAAAAGCAAACAAACAGAAGGGAGACAGTAATGAGATTAGAGGAAATAATCAGAAATGAAATTAGACACTACTTCTTTAGAGGAACATAAGAGGAAATTTATGGAAATAAAAAAAAAGTTTATAAAAAATTCAAACAATTGTATACTAATAGAGTCATTAGATGAAGTAGACAAATTCCTAGAAATATACGAACTACCAAAAAATGAGTCAAGGAGAAATAGAAAGCCTGAATAAACCTAACAAGAGATTAAATTAGTAATTAAAAAACTACCCCCTCAAAAAATTCTAGCCCAAAATACCTCATTGTTGAATTCTAAGCAATTATTTAATTTTGAATCAATACAATTCTTCACAAACTCCTCCAAAAAAATAGAAGGCCCTAGCACATTCTGAGTCAGTATTTATTCTGATACCAAAAACCAGACAAAATCATCTCAAGAGAAAAAAAAACCAAACCTACAGACCAGTATCTTACAAATATAGATTGAAAACATCCTCAACAAAATACCAGCAACTAGAACCCTGCAATGAAAAAAAAATATCACACAGTATCACAACAGAAATCCCCCTCTAACGCAATGCTCAGCGGAGCCACTGGGGTGTGATTCCAGACCAGGAAAGATATGGGGACATGGCCCTACTCTATGAGAGCTTTGGAGGTGAACTGCAGCTCTAGTGGGTCCAGAGCGTGAAACATCAAGCCAAAGATTTTTGTCGAGCCTTAGGTTTTAATGTTGTTTACCACATTAGGTTATGGACTTACCTGGGACCTTTCATTCCTTATTTCTTTCTTGTTTCTCCACACTTATCCTAACATTGTATTTGAAAGCACATGTGTTTGGTTTCACAGGTTCACAGTGAGAGAGAAATGGTGCCTCAGGATTAAACATACTTTCAATCTCATCCATATCTAACTCAGATGATAGATGAGACTCTGGACTCTAGACCTTTGAGTTGATGCTGGAATAAGTGAAGACAGATCTATTCAGGAGTAAATATATCTTGCATGTGAGAAGAATATTGCTATGGTCTGGATGTTTGTATACCCCCAGTTCACATTCACATGTTGAAATCTAATTCTTAAATATGATGGTAGGGCTTTTGAGAAGCAATTAAGTCATGAGAGTCAAGCTCTCACGAATAGGATTAACGTTGTTACTAAAGAGATTCTGCAGAGTTCCCTAGCCCTTTTCACCATTTGAAGAGACAATGATAAGTCTGTGACCCAGAAGAGTGCCTTTGTCCTATTTGACCATGCTGGCACTCTGATCTCACACTTCCAGTATCCAGAACTATGAGAAATAAATGTCTGTTGTTTATGAGTTACCCAGTGTATGGCTCTTTGTTATAAGAGCTCTAATGGACTGACAGACATTAACTTGGTAGGGCGAGTAGGGCAGGAGGGTTGGAATGTTGTAGACTGAAGGTTGTTGTTTCCCACATAGATTCATATGTTGACATCTAATCCCCAGTGTGATGTTTTTTTGGAGTTGGAAGTTATGGGAGATGATTACAACA